GACTACTGCTCCACACTATTGTCGTCAGCACCACAGACGCACATAGATAGACTACAAGTAATCCAAAATCGTGCAGCTCGTGTAGCCACAAACGCCACTTTTGAAGACAGACTTGACAACCTATACACTCAGTTGAACTGGCAAACAGTGAAAGAAAGACTTTTCTGTAATACATTGTGTACATTTCACAAAATAGTCACTACAAAGCAACCAAAATGTATTTTCAAAGAACTGCAGCGAATTGAATCTACACATGATCACAACACAAGACTGTCTCGGAGAGGGGCGTTTGTTCAAGGCAAACCTAAGACCAGAGCTAAAACAAGAACATTTGTCTACAGAAGTATAAAAACGTACAACACGCTGCCTCCTCACATGCTCACCGAAAACGCACGCACATTTAAAGTAAACATCAGTCAACTATGTAAAAATACGAGCACATGCGTCTTGACACATGGTGGTAAGACACATGGAGCACAGGTGTACCTCTGACCTCTCCACAACTTGTATATTTGCTGTTGTTAGAAGTATAAGTAAATTTAATAAGTAGTTACTGTTACTTAGTAATTTTATTGTTCTTGTTAAGCAATTGTTATGTATAATGTTGTTGAATCCTTTGTAACTATTAAGTTGATAATTGTATGTATTCTATTATGTGAAAGGACTCCAGGAAGATTAGTATACACAGCTTGTATAACTAATGGAGATTCCCAATAAACAAACAAACAAACAAACAAACAAACAAATAATAACAATTTCTAAGCTGTGATTTCTGAAGAAAAAAAAAAGAAAATGATGAAAGATAACGAACAATAACAAATTCCGAACTACACACCCTTGGGCCCAATCAGCCCCTCAGGACCGCGAGAGATTGTAGTCTCCACCAGACGCTCCTTTCAGGCTGAATAAATAGTAGAAATCGGCCAAAAAGGTGGATATCATTGGCCAGGGGAGTTGGGCCCTCTTTTGGACCCTCTCTGGTCGGCCAACTAGTACTCCTCTCATCAAGATTTTTAGGCCCATTTCTACCTGCAAAGGAGTCTGGTGGAGACTTGAGTCTGGGAGATTGTGTCACCCTGGTCACTGGCAGCTCAGACAATTACAAAATGAAACCAGTTACCACATGTCGTTGTGGGTGCCTGCAAAGTTATATGAACAGGATTACCAAGGCTGCTTGCCGGGCACAGTACATGACCTAGTGACGCATAATCACGGTCTGAGTAGTAACCCTGCCACGGGGAGTCACGACTGGTACTGCAGCCGCGTAATCCAAGCTGGAATGACGTTTGGTTAGTACAATCTACCGCAGGGAACTGTTCCATGTCATGGGAAGCATGCAGGGGTGGATAAGATATCACGGTCAGGTTCATTTTTTACCTCCATGAAAAATGGAGGTATTGTTTTTGGCGGCGTCTGTCTGTGTGTCTGTGTGTGTGTGTGTGTGTCTGTGTGTGTGTGTGTCTGTGTGTCTGTGTGTGTTTCCGCAACTTTGTAGTCAGCATAACTTCATAACGCCTTTATGGATTGTGATGATATTTGGTATGCTGATAAGTCTTAGGAAGACAAAGGTCAAGGTCAAATATGGGCCTCCTGGTGGATGACCTTGGTACTGCAGCAGAACTTCCGGTTTTTGTATCTTTGGTCCTGAACATGCTATGGTCTTGAATTTTTGGTGACAGATAGCTTTTCCTGTCAGGAATAAGTGGTGTGGGTTTGATCCCCCTAGCAGCTTGTTCAGGAACTGCAGGGGACTTTCGGGCGAAATCTTTGAAAGCCAATAAGTCCAGATAGGAACAGCGTATTTTCATCATTTTTGGTGTGTAGGTATCTGACAGAGAGATGTAGATAATTAACTGCAAATTATGCAAATGAGGACTTTATTTGCATAATTAATGAGGAAATTCTATAATTACAGTGTTTTACATTATAGAACTTTCATACATGTAATGTATGCAACCTATGGCAGATGGAACATCAACAGATACTAATTATGCAAATGATGACCTAATTTGCATAATTAATGGAAAAAATCTATGATTTCTCAATGGTGAATGATGGGAATGTCATACTTGGGACATCTTTAAGTTAATCAAAAGTTAACATCACGATGCATATATTATGTTAATGCAGAGGTCATTTGCGTAATTAAAGAAGAAATTTACATTTACATATCAAGCCCATATTTCATGGAGGTATGAGATCTCGGAACTCTTGTTGATAGTGAAATTCTGCATACTTTTGGTGATCTTTGAAATTTACCATCGGCGAAGGAATCCGGAAATCCCCTTTGGAAACTTCCTTGTACGATAGTTTGCCAAACCTCGCGCCAACTTGAAATGTGCAGATCAGCCACCAACGTACCTCTAGGAAAAGTTTAGTTTGGCAGCCAGTGTGTTACATCCTGTGGTGAAAGTAATCACAACCACTACGGTAAACCCCTCCGTGGATAGGTCATGGTGTACTTTTGACGTCTTAACCGACGACAGACCTTCTGGGTCTTAAAATAGACTACATGTCCGCGAGTCGAGGTCAGGATCTCGCCGCATCCGCTGACGCACCTTCCAGAAATAGACTTCTCCACCGGGGAAGGAAGTTCCATCTTGACGGGACGGGTCTTCGATTCGTGTCGTTCGTTAGCAGAGAGATTAATCGGGTGCCGTGCATTTAC